GATCTTCTGTATTGACTGTAAGTCTATGGAGCAGTGAGACGGTATGCCTGGAATGAGCGACTTACGCAAATACCATTCATCCCATCTCGATAACACTGACAGCTGAATTTGTGACAATTTTCTCTATGATTGTCATCTGTTATATGAGTATAAAGCGTAAGAATGGCATAATAGGAGCAGAAAAGCGGCAAGAGGAAGAGGAAAAGCATAGTGAGAGCTGTTAGACCGGGGAGTCACGTGACACACAGGCAGCCAATGGCATGGTATAGTATTGGCCCATTCGTTGTCTATGGACAAATAGACAAAATATAAATGTCGATTATAAAAAAAAAAGATATCAAGATGGTTGATGGCACCATCGGTAGCTGAACGTCTCACGAGTTGAATAGAGTTGAAATGGTGTTTCTAGCCCAAGGTATGCCGGAGATATTAAGCTTCCAACTTTGCCCCATTCATTTCCAATGGGGAAAAATATGATGAAAAAAGCTGAATAGCTTAAAAAGTATAAAAGTTATAAAAATTCAGTATACAAGCACACATGTCCTTAATAGGATGAACAGTTTGATACCTCAATGGCCCTTCTAGGTGAATGTATGCTGAAGGAGTTAGGTGTCAAAGAACAGCCGTGGAACCCAGAATAATAAAGAAGAAGATAACAAGAGTGTGGATGCTCGCATCCACACTAATAAAGAAGAAGATAACAAGAGTGTGGGTACTTTCATCCACACTAATAAAGAATAGGATAACATAGTGTGGATGCTTCAAAGAGGTTCTGTTTTAGCAAAGTACTTTTACAAAAAGAGCAAAAACCTAAATAAACTACTTCCTGGGTTCGTGCTAGCAACAATACAACAAAGTAAAACTAAATTATCCCAATCTGTCATTAAACTTGCCAGTTTATCAGTTCCTATTTAAAATCTAACTAAGAACAGTAGCTTGTAGCTAACTAGCAAGCAGCTAGCTTTATTTGCCATTTAGGCAACAAGGAATACATGTTCATTATGCACTGGGGGGGTTACTGTAACAATCAGTGAATCAGATCTCATTCCGTCAGCCAGTCACTACCACTGCCTTACGTATTGCATTTGTTGAGGTTGCTGTAAATTATGAATAACATGTTTTTACGACACATTTAAAATTTTTCTCTACTGTTTGCACTCTTGCATGGTAAAGGATATTCTGCCTGCAGAAAAAATACAATTATGCTATTCTGAACAAATAATTAGACCAAGTTGAACATACAATATAGTTGCTTTTAGGTTGTCATTTCCATTAGGATGATAGGTGTTCTTAGGAATACTACAACTTGCTGCATTTAAATGTAACCCTAAATGGCTGCATCCATAAGCAGTAGAACATACTGCAATTTTAACCCTCTAAAGTGGGGGTGACTGTGTTTCAGGAGGTAGAGAGGGTCATCTCTTAACCAAAAGATTAGCAGTTTGATTCCTGGCTTGTCCAGTCCGCATGTTGAGCTGTCCTTGAGCAAGACATTGAATCCCCAGTTGTGCGAGTGCGAATGGGTGAATGGCCAAGTAGTGTGAAAGCGCTTTGAGTGTGCTGCTATGCATAGAAAAGTGCTATATAAGTATAAGACCATTTAAAGTGAATGACCTTCAGATAAATTGCTGCACTGACAGATATTTGGATCTGAGTACTGCGGTCTTTGGCCAGAAGCCGAGGAATGTGTTTCACACTGACCGCTCAGTAGGGAGCCAGCTCAGAAAACACAACACTGCCTGCTTTGTGGCCTCCTAGACGTTACACATCATTTTGCTGCAAGCACATTTCTCAAAACAAAACTGTACTACACCACGTGCAGAGCAGCTCGGAACTTGATATCTCCATTGTTGTAGAGTTGTAGATCTGTCAACAAGAATTTTTAGACAACAATGTGTGGAAACTGTAAACGAAGGGGCTCTTCCATTTTAGACTGCTGTCAACCAGCCTGCCAGTATCCTAGCTGACAAGTAAAATGTCTTCATTTGTGTTCAGCTCATGTATCAAAGATAACAATTAAGGACAGATCTTCAGCTTGTCAATGTTTTCATTACTGATGCACCTGCAAATTATTTAATAGTTCATTTATAAATTAATCATCAAAAAATGTTTTGCTTTTAAAAATAGCTTCTGATGGATTTTCTGGCAATCTAGTAATTGAACAAATGAACTAATAATTCCAACTTTGAATTGAGCTCTGTCATCTGAAGACAACTTGCATTTCCAAATCCCATTACATACAGCTAACTGAAAATAAAAGCCCTTTGAATTTTCCTATTTTGTGAGTTCACAACAACATTAGCATCCACATACCATATTCAGTAGATTTCAACTGGATCAAGTCCCATTTAATCTTTATCAGCATTATTTTAATATTACAAGGTCACAGTGAACAATTTAAAAATGTCTGAACATCTTAAATTAATTCCATGCAGTATATTCAGTTTCATTCCCAGGACATTTGTTGAGTGAATACCCTAATGGCTACGTAATGCCTTATCTGCAGAATCCAAAGTGTCAGCCTCCTGCAGCATTGGCTTATGGGATGCATCACCTCTCTGAAGCATTCAATTGGTTCAGTGAGTACATGATGTGGGTTCTCAGCCCACATATGGACGTCGGTATATTCAGAGCTTCAGTTAGCACATTCTAACCTGCATTTGCTTCATGTCAAATTGTCGTTCAGATCAAAGTATCAAGTCAGGGATTAGGTTTGTGCACAATTTATTAAAGTAATAATCTTTGCTTCAGTTTGGATAACCGAGAATAGAGCTGTACAATTAATTTATTTTATTGTTCACAATAACAATGTTGACCACACTCTTGTGAAGTGCACCAATTTAAATTTTCTAATAAACATTATTAGGCCATACCAATAGCGGACTTCTGTCAACAAGAAATTAAGCAATGACAATCAACAATCTTTGCTCAGTTTAAAGCCTGTTTCTACTCAGACAGGTGTTGCAATTGCATCCTCTCTGTCTTGCTTCCTCTGTCTCTTTTACCAACACACCAAACCAGCATTTCCATGGGGAGAGCTCGGTGTTAAAAGTGAGTGAGTATTGAACATCTGACCAAAGGGTGGAGTTACACATGCACATCTCTGGCTTTAGATCAAAATCTCTTTGTTCTGCTCACTCGGTTTTCCATGTGACCTCAGAGGTTCATGTAGGCAGCCATCTTCTAGTGTTCACACACACTCACAAACACATGTAGGAGAAAGTTGTATTTTATTTATCTGCCATCTTGTTACCAGCCAATCTGGTTCTCTACCCTTTGTTTCACACACACACACATACATACTGTATGTGTATACCCAACATCTTTGCACATACTGCAAACACACACACAAACAAACATACCTGTATATAGGTATAGCCACATTTTCATTAGACTTAAGACTTTCCTTTTTGATAAAGCTTATAGTTAGGACTGGATCAGGTGACCCTGAGCCTTCCCTTAGTTATGCTGCTATAGGCCTAGGCTGCTGGGGGGCCCCATGATGCTCTGAGTTTCTCTCCTCACCTCTCCTTTCCTCTCTCCCTATGCTTCTATATGCCACCATTACACATCACTAACTTTGTGTCTCCTCTCTCCCGTAGTGTGTTCTCTCTCTCTCTCCCTGTACCTTTCTGCAGGTTGCCCTGGTCCTGGAGCTCTATGTTTCTGATGAGCAGTCACCGGCCACATCAACCTATACCGCCTCCCCCTTGGTTATATTTTTCGTAAATACATTTCTTTTCAGTTATGCGGATGACACCCAGCTCTATCTCTCCTGTAAACCAAACTCTACTCTCCCACCCTTCTCCCTTACAAACTGCCTTGATGAAATAAAGTCCTGGTTTTCAAATAACTTTCTTAAACTGAACAGTAATAAAACTGAGTTCCTTTGCTATGATGTCTGAAATATCCCCACACAGGGTTTAATAGAGTGTCATCCTATTTTATCCAAATAGGAGTTACCTTGACCGGACATCAAAGCTAGAGAAGGTGGATGTAGGTGGGGTTATTTCTTGGTCAGTGGGTATGAGGTGTGGAAGTGCATCTGGATTGTTGCATTAGATTCTTCTCTAATATTTTCTGGCACACGCTGTATTCTTTAGTTGAACATGATGAGCTTATTTTACCACAATAAGAATCTTTTAATCAGATTTGTTTAATGTATAAACTGCCTCCACTGAAAGAAGTCAGTGACTGTTGAATTACCCAACTTGTGTTTTGACACTCATGCTTATACAGGGGTTTAGGAATTCGATGCAAGTATCAGTTTGATTCTGAACTTAAGTTCAAAATCCACAGGGATCACAAAGGTTCAGCCTTCTCTGTGATTTCAGAGAAACAACTCCTGCCTCAGGAGATGACGGCAAAACACTGTCTCAGCAGACAGAGGAGAGAATTTAAGCAAGCAAAATCATGTTTTAATGCATCAGGGGGCTGACACATGACATGGTGAGTGGCAGTGGGTGACACGCTGTGCAGAGAAACATACTGTAGGGTAGCACCATCAGCAGTTACTTACTTGAAAGTGATTTTCTTTGTTTGACTGTCGGGAATCCCCTTTATTACAGGACATCTATCAACAAAAGAAAAAGGAAAGAACTATCCATGAATACATGTCAAGCCGTGTGTGAGCATCAACATCAAAGCCAGTAGCCATGCCTGCAGTGCAGACAGTACAGTACGAGTTCAAATACACACCAAGTCTTTTGGACATGACAGTGCAGAGGACTGTTCAGACTAGTTACCACATTCCCCTGACTACCTACTTTACACAGCAGCCAGAAAGTGAAAGCAGTGACAGAAGTCAGAATGTGTAGATAGGAGGATATACCCCTGAGGAGGAGAGATGAAACTAGTTTTTATTACCAAAAACTGCTGTTGAGTGTTAGATTTTACTGTGGAGTACAAGTACAACCTGTGGCTAAAAGTCTACAAATATATACAGAGAGGTGAAGAACGATAGGAGAGCTCTGTCTAACATGTCACTCCAACATTTCCCACAAGTGTTCAGCTGGGTTGAGATCTGGTGACTGTGAAGGCCAAAGCATATGATTCACATCACTTTCATATCAAACCATTCAGTGACCCCATGTGCTCTATGGATGGAGGCACTGTGATGCTCGAGGAGACCATTCTTTTATTCAGGCTTTCATTTGTCAATTGGCAAATCTTCTAATTTTCCACTACTCGCATATCTTCACTGCTGAGAAACTCTGTCTCCAGTGCAGTTAGGGTTTGTTTAATCACTAGTACCTGGGCACTCTAACAATGACATTGGAGTTCTTTAATCATATTAGTTATTTATATTTAATTCACTAATTCCCGAGAGGCAGCTCTGTCATTACAGAGATGGCGGCAGTTACCTTGGTGAAGGACACAGTGTTTTTTGTCTCTCAGATATCCCTAGCAACAAATGCTAACTGCTTAGATGACCACTAGCAATTACACAGACTTTAGTTAATACTTAATGCAGCTCTCATCGGGCCATGAAAACGAATTAAACGCCAGCAGATGAGAATGAGTTGCTTTCATGAATCTTGGTCACATGTTTTTAAGTCCTTGACCTCTTGTCGCTCAATATTTGAAAGTGAAATCAATCCACTGTGGCAGGATAACTGTTGCACTTATAGCAATACAGCAGAACGTGTCTGTTCTAGAAGAGCTGCCACATCATCTAAGCAGATAAAAATGCCTCTGTATCTGTGTTAACTGCAACCACTGTGGAGCGGTAAGGAAACGCATCACCTACCTTCTTTGGTGCAACCTGTGAGGCAACAACAAGGCAACCTGTACAGAGTCTAATAACTTTTCTTGTTTTTTGCTTTGTTTTGGGTTTGTTTGTTTGTTTTTTTTAGCTGAGCGAACTGCAAATGTGCAGACTGATCCTCAGGCTCCTTTGTTTGTCTACTGGTTCAAACATTTAGCTGACTTCTTAACAATTAAGAACCACAAGGCTGGGATTTTGAGAAGAAGACAGACAGACAGGAGAGATGTTTTAAAACTGTTTTCCCTCCATGCTGTATCTTCCCAGTGATGACAGCCAGGTCTGTGCTATGTAAGTGTGTGTTACATCTTTGTATTAGGCTGAGATTTCAGGGATCTCATACTGTACCGTGTTTTTGGGTGGGTTCACCTGGGAACAAGAGTGCTCAAGGCACGCTCCTTTGGGAAGCCTACGGCAAAGAACACATGCATGTACAGCCATGGGGGTACATAACCATGTACAACAATGGCTAACACGCACACACACATGTACACATACAAACACATGCGTGAAGGCATAACACATGCATACACTAACATAAGCATATGACCTGTAGACACACACACACACACACAACAACCACCTCTAGAGGTGGCACTGTTAGATCACATAGTTGTATTATCATTTTTAGTTATTGCCTCATTTCTGTGTATCAGCTCAAGCATTAAAGTGACCTTTGACCCTAGTTACATGAGCCATCACTGTGATAAAGGCAGACAAGTCAAACATTCTCACAACTTTAGTCAAACAACCTCTGATTTTTATATCTCTGCACTAATTAATGTGTGTGATATAGCAGCACTTATCTGCAACAAAAGCAGCTTAAAGAGCAACTTGCAGGTTAAATTTTTACAAAATGTGTAACCTTTCTTGGAAATGATTATTTAAAAAGTAATGCCAGAAATTCCAAGAACAAAGTAGGTGTTTTGATCAACACTCTTAAAAAATTTTCCACTGTCCAAAATCACATCACAACAGTGCTAGTAGGTGGTAATGGGTCTGGGCAAGTACAATTTAGTGAGTTTGTCTTTTTCCCTACTTTTGATTTCACCATTTTTTCTTGTTATGTGATGTTGTTTTTTTGTTTTCACATTGCACAAACTCCATCCAAGCGTCCCTAACAACAAGAGGAACAGGGGCAGCTTGGAGGTGCAGCTGAGGAGACAGGATCTCACCCTGCATTTGGACTGACAAATGAGCTCATGTACAAGACTCATTTTAGACAGAAGGATAAGCTCTTCTCCAGTTCTCCACTGAATCTCCTCTACCAACAGCTCCATTTCTCACTGACTGCTGCCTCATAATTATGAGGCTGTGGTCCATTATGTGCACATGAATATACATTTTCAGTCTTTCCAGTGTCAAAAATAGAATAGTTTTCATATTCCCTTTTGTTTAACTGAACCTCACTTGGCTTTTTTGTGATATCAGGCCCAGTCTGTATTTTTTGAGGCCCTCATAAAAAGCACTAGTGATTCACTCAAGTGGCTAACCTGCAAGTTGCACTTTAACTAATAATAGCTCCAGCCTAAGAACTACAACCTACTGAGGGAAACACATTTCTCAGATATGACAACAGATCCTTGTGAAGAGTTTGGCTTACTTGTACCTCTGTTTGTACAGTAATACAACAGTGTTTAGCTGTTATCTGAGATGCGGCTCCCACCTGCAGGATGGCCCCATAGAGGCGCAGCAGGATGCTCCTTGGCTCGTCCCCAACAGTGTCCAGGCTGTCAGGGAGGCTACACAGGAAGAGCTTGTTGCTCAGACCACCCCTGGTGGACAGACAATATATGAATATGACTGATTATGGTATGATTTCATTATATTGTGTGGCATTCATGTGGACGGCAAAGGAAGAATTTCAGTGTCCAGGAAAACATGTTTCCTCACTGTGCATATACAACAAACCCTTGATCTTGACCGATGCAAAGGTTATCATGTAGGTTCTGTCATTCTTATTATTACAAATGAGGTTCACACTTTTTGATGTTTTCTCTAGTAGATATGGCTTTCTGGGGCTCTTACTGTAACCCTCAAATGTGTCTTTGTCATAGTCTTCAATATAAGTTTTTTAACTATAAATATGAACTTTGTCAAATTTTATCCAGTTTAACTAATGCCTGTAGGACCTTACTGTATTAACATAAATTGTTGCTAAAGTTGAAAGAACACAAACACCTTAAACTTATTTTGTCATCAAGTGATAAAGGTAAAATATGACATTGGAGGTACTTTGTTTTACAGTGATATCTCTGTCAAAGAGGCACACAGCCCTTCTTCCATGCTGAGCTCACTGAGTAGCTCCAGCATTGGGCTGAGACTACAGCCTGTCCAGTTAAAAGGGGACCGGGTCTGAGTCGTACTGAAATTTAAGTGGATAACACAAAGGAAATATCCGACATTCGAGGGGCCTTTACCCTCTAACGATTTACATCCCGTTATAATAGCAGGCCTGTTTCTAATAGGCTAAGCAAACGAGCACGCCGTACCTTATAACGGTGATATGAAAATCTTCCTCAGCCAGGCTTTTCCATGCTCCATGCAGGAAATCTCTGCACCACAGATAGGCTTTGTGCTGGGTGTCCAGGTCGGGCTGGTCAGGGCGGACCAGATCCTTGCAGTCTTCCTGGGTGTCGGGCTGGACCTGCAAGGCGTTCTCGGTCACCAGCAGACCCAGAGACATGGAGGGGGAAGAAGAAACCCCGTTGATAAATTTGGTCTTCATTTTGGTGTCTCAAAAAAGTAATACAACGTAAATATGCTGAACTGAACGCCCCCTCTGTGATTTGTGTCGCAGGAGGTTTTATCCCGGTTATTCTGTTAAAAAAGTCTTGTGTTTGTTTGCGTGTGTGTGTGTGTGTCGCAGTTGTTTCTCTTATTCTAAAACACCCACTTGTCTCACTAGCAGGAGCTGAGTAAAATATGTGAGAGATGCCGATTTACACAGGGAGTTAAAACATTGAGTGGGCGAAGGGGAATGAGACGTCACACGTCTCCGCCTTTGAGATTGATTGGCTAGCACCACACAGCGGAAACTGTCGGAAATACAGATGTACAAAAAGAAATGCAAAGCATGCGTTTCTTTCACCCTGCAACATTTAGACTTTGTGGAGTTTTTATTATAAACAAACATGGCTGTGCTTATATTCAACATTTGTTAGGTATTGTGTGAAGTTACAGACACACTGAGTACATTTCCTACCTTATCAAATATTTACAAAACGTGCTTTGGGTATTTTGAAACCTACATAGAGCACGTTTATCGGCATATTACTATCATCCTCTGCGTATGCAATGTCTGCACACTGCACCTGGCTAGTGTTGTGGTTTGAGTCCAACTGCACATGCTGGCAAAACAAAACACTGGAACCACTCATCAAAACATTTCTTCGTGTATGGCAGCTCAAGGGGGGGGCATGTTTGAGAGTTTAACATCTAGAAATCCAGGATGTACGTTTTTCAAACCTCTGTCACAAAAAGTCCTATTCTTGTATGCTTAACTTACTCCTTTTGTCTGGCTGTTCAAAGACAGGCACAATATATAATATATCACCAAGGGACAAACTGCAGGATGGAAAACATGATTTTTATAAACTGATGTGACTGTTCATGGCTCGTGTACCAACCTTCCCTCTACCTCATTAATTGATTTCATAGTTTGTAGCAATAAAATGAGAGAAAATATAGAGTGGGCCATGGAAAAGTAGCCTGCCTCCAAATCTTAGGAGCTAGGGCTCCAGGCTACTTTTCCGTGGCTCACCCTGTATTTGTGCATGATTTTGCATGACTTGCAGTTTACACAGATTTTAAGAAAATTTGATTTAAAGCACTGTTACATATAGTGATATTTACATGATTTATTAAAAATAAATTAAGGCTCCTTACTGTTTTAGTATTTTAATTAGAATATTAACCTATTGCTATCACTGGGTAAATGCTCCAAAATGTTACCTACTCAGCCTTAAGTCTCCTGTCCAGATTAAGTGGGAAACTGCAGAGGTAGTTGATTTTGCATATTAATTAGTTCACATTTAATGACAAGCACGCTGTTCGGTAGCGAAGAGAAAATTAAAACAATAAGCAATGCAGAATAAAGATGTGATGGAAAAATAAGACAGGATGAATGAAAGACAACGGGAGCTGTAAGACTACAAGCACAAATAAAGAGGAAGTAGACCTACTGTGCAAATCAACTGTACAAAAAAGAGCTTTAGTTATTTTCTGATTATCAGTTAAAAGTTCAAACAACAATGTCCAACCTTTTGACTTAAAAAAATTACTTTCTAACACTAAATCAGAAAAAGTTGGGACATCAAAATTAAAACTGAAAAGAGTGAGAGCAAAACATCAGCTTGTACTAACCATCACTGCTCAGACCTGCTCTCTGCTTCTGCCTTGTTCGAAACCACACCACTAACACTAGGGTTTGAAGCAGGTTTGAAGCACTAGCAGGATGAAGATGGACTTCAGTTACAACAGGATTGGAAATATTAACATTGCATCAATGTATATGTACTGATCATGCACTTATGGAGCTGTTCTTTGTTATATTGCAGCCATATGCTAAAATCATTTATGTTCTTTTCCTTATTAATGTACACACAGCACCCCATATTGACACAGAATGTTTGACATTTTTGCAGATTTATTAAAAAAGAAAAACTGAAATATCACATGGTCATAAGTATTCAGACCCTTTGCTCAATATTTAGTAGAAGCCCCCCTTTTGAGCTAATACAGCCATGAGTCTTTTT